AGGCTGTGGTAAGCCATGACTGTGCCACTGCACTCCAGCCTGGGCAACAGAGTGAGACCCCAACTTAAAAAAAAAAACAAAACATATAGATAGATAGATAGATAGATAGATATTGTTGCTGTTGTTGTTGTTCTAGAAGAGGATCATTTTTATTTTTATTTGTTTCTGAGTTGGAGTCTCACTCTGTCGCCCAGACTGGAGTGCAGTGGCCGCTCCCGGCTACCGCAGCCTCGACTGCTGGGCTCCGGCGATCCTTCCACCTCAGCCTTCCAAGTATCCGCAATTTCAGGCACGTGCTACCACGCCCGGCTGATTGAGGATCCTTTTTAGAACACCTTCCACAGGCTCAAGGGCAAGTTGTGTGACCAGTGCTAAGGCATGGGCACAGAAGGCTGAGGCATCACCTCAAGGAATGAGTGAGTCACTCCTGCTAGGCTCCCAGGAGGAGATAATGTGGGAGACGACCAGAAGGATCCTTTATATCCACCACGCAGACAGGTCTTACCCACAAGAGCAGGGACTGAGCTGTGCCTTTTTTTTTTTTTTTTTTGAGTCGTAGTGTTACTCTATCCCCCAGGCTCACGACCACCGCAGCCTCGCCCTGCTGGGCTCTGGCGCTCCTTTGGACTCAGTCTTCCGAGGAGCTGGAACCACAAGCGCGCACAATGCCCGGTTTTTTTGATTGACTGTAGAGATGAGATCCCGCCAAGTTGCCCAGGCCGGTCTCGAACCCCTGGACTCAGGCAATCCTCTCGCTTCGGCCTCCCCAAGTGCTGGGATGACAGGCGTGAGCCACCCACCGCGCCCGGCCTCGAGCTGTGCCTTCTGATCAGGGCTCCAGCATGTTCTTCCAGAACTTTCTTTCCTCCTCTATGGCAAGGGGAGATGTGCCATGGTTGGTTGAGTCTGAAAGGAGCTGTGCCTAGAAATGTTTTCCAAGTTCCCAGCAAAGGGGGCGGGGACGGAAGGCCGTGGGGGAAGGCCTACCTGCCGGGGGCTGGGGAGGCTGGGGGTCCCGCCTCGCCAAGGCCCCGCCATAAGCTCCTCCAGTCCTGTCGTTTCGACCTCGCGCTCCCTTCCGCCTCCGCAAGACTGAGCAAGGCGCACGAGACAACGTGCCTGGAAGCAACTTCCGCTTCTGGAACCCTGGAGGAGAGGAGGCGCCGCCAGGATTGCCCAAACGTCCCCATAGCAACAGAAGACCGCGGGGTCCAGCTGGCCAGGAATGACTAGACGGCTCCCGGCATGCTTCCGGGGCGGCGGGCGGAGCAGCTCCGGGTCACTCCCGTTTGACCCGGAAGTGGTCCTTGCGCCATGGGTCCGCGCCCTTCCGGGACCTGCGGTGGGAGCGCAGGACCTGGGAAAAAAAGCCTTCCGGGCGCATCCTGGGACCCTCAGTAACACTGGCCTCCTTCCAATCTTTTGCTTTAGGCCTGGGGTCAGGGTGGGCAAAACAGGCCCGCCTGTGGGCTTAGAGTGGTCGGACCTTTTGAGATTGTTGGGAGAAAAAAATAGAGTCATCATGTTGCATGACATAAAATTCAAAGGTTTGCGTTGCTAGAGCTTTATCGCAGCATGGTCATACTCGTTCGGTTGTGTCATCTGTGGCTCTTTGCAGGCTGCAAGGCAGGCTTGAGGAGTCGTGGGTTGCCCTGCAAAGCCTAAAATATTTACTTTCTGGGTCCTTACCAAAAAAATAGCTTGCCAACCCTGCTTCAGGTTTTTCTCGCAAGCCCCAAGGCAAGCCAGTCACCGCCAGGCAGCCTGTTCTCTGCCCTGGGAGGAGGAAGGGACTGGTGTGACAGTGACCTGCAGCCCCTCCACTCTCCAGGGTCTGGCTAAGAGCAAGAGCAGGGCTGGCTTTTGCCTCGCTCCCCCTCAAAGTGATTCCTCTCCTCCTCCTCCTCCTCTG